CTCAGGGCTGTGACTGCTGTGGTGCCATTCACCCTATTTTTAGGAGCCGAACCCCTTTTGTACTCCCTGTCGCTGAGCCCTGGTGGTGTCTCGTGGCACCACTGGAGCAGCTCCGTGCTCCCTGACGTGGGAGTTAATTATAGCCCGGCCCGCGCATCCTGCGCCCGTAACCTTAAAGCACTTCTGCCAGTGATTTATTTAAACGCTGATAAATTATACATTTCTGGCACTTTAGTAATTCATGTGAAAATTATTTGGAGTCAACTCAACATAACATACCTCTGTGTGCTCTCTGGTGGAGAAAGCTCTGTCAGACAACACTCAGACAACATTTCCATCTGCTCTTCCTTTTCACTTTTTCACGTGACTTTGGGTTACCTGTGGGTCGCAGAATAGTGAGGGGGACTCCTGTAAGAAGCTCAGTCTCAGCTGTTGGTGGTGTTAAGGGAGTTAACTCTGACTTTAAAAAGTCTGAGCTCTCTCTGGCTTTGGGAGCAGGTGGCACCTTCCCTCAGTGTCTGCACTTCCTGGATCATCGCTGGCCAAACCCACCTGTCAGTGTCCCTGGATGCAGGAGCAGGGTGTGAGGATGAAGGGATGCTCTTCTGGCACCACCAGGAAGTGCAGGGCTGGGAGTGCTCTCACTCCCATGCTCTGGGTTCCTTTGGCTGGGCTGGAGACAAACACACCTCAGTGAGTTAGAGGGTGAGACTTTGGGGATAGTCCATGTCAGCATTGTTCTTCTGTCCCCCCAAAGATTGCCCTGACAGAGATGCAGCTGTTTCACTTGTTGATTAGCAAAAACATTAGCAGACCTACTGTTTCAGGGCATGAATAATTAATGTTTGTTCCTCATTAATTTCTTGTGGCACAGAGTCCTTGCATTTAGATGTATTTCTAGAACTAGGAGCAAATGTAACAAGCAAGAGATGCCTGGCAGCTGAGTGCTCTGTTCCACCCCTGGAAAGCATTATCCCATTGCTCCCATCCTCTCCAGCAGGAGGGGAAGGGGTTTGTTCTGAACAAGCACTGATGTGTCCTATATTACAATTTTAATTTCAGGGAATGAGACGAGAAACAAGTTGTATAATTCATGCACGTTACAAGTGAGTACAAGGGGCACTGTCGCCAAGGAAGAATGTGTTCCTGGGACCTCAAATCAAAACCTTGTTTCCTGAAAAATTAAAAAATAAGATTGATCAGCTTTCCACCTGCTGCTGCTGGACAAGGCTGTTTGTCCTGCCCCCATTACCCAGCACGGCAATGCTGCAGGGCAGCTTCAGGTGCTAATGCCAAAGCCTTTTGGTTTGGGTCTGGGATTAACACCCCCAAACATCTGGTCAGCCCTTGGAGCCCTCTGTGGCCAGGGACGTGTCCAAGGCTTTGCTTGACTAGAGCCCCCCTGCAGCTGGCAAAGCTCTGCTTGGATTTTAATTACAGAAGAGGAGAGGAGAGCGAGTGCTTCTGGTTTAATCTGAAGCAATGCACAGAACCCAGGTGCTTCCCCTTCCCTCTCTCTGGAAGGAAGTTCAGCAGCTGGCCCAAAACTCAGTCCCTCTGGAGCTCTCTTGCACTGGGTGGCCCTCACTGCTGGACCCGCAGAGGAAGCCTGTCCTGGACAAGAAGCCACTGGCAGCTTTTTTCTCTGAAACAGTTCCCATCCCACCCCCACCTGTACTAAAAACTTCCCAAAGTGATGGGCATCCCGCCCTCGCCCCTCACTTTAACCCTCCAAGTTCTTCTTCAAGGCTCTGTTTCAGGCCTTGCTCACAGTCCCACACGAGTCACAGGCAGAACTCAGCACATCCTGCTGCTCTCCATAATCTTGTTGTTCCCAACCCTGCGTAGGAATGGGCTCTGCAAACCCGAGTGCTCTGGGGGACACTGTGGCCTCAGGAAGTTTCTCACTGCCAGACTCCTTCCTTTGAAATCCTGACTTGGCCCCTCCACCCGGCAGCTCCTGTAACTTAGCAACTTTTTCCTTTGTTTAGGTGCGTTCTTCAATCTTCTTAATGAATAAGAGAATCAGGCCAGGTAATTGATGCTTGGCTGTTTAGCTGATGAATAATTGACTGTCTGGGTAACCCTAGATATTTCCTCAATCAGATTGTGCTGTGCAACAGCCATATCACCCAGGGTGCAGCACAGCCCATGCTTTTGGGGTGCTGGAAATGTGCTGTGCAAACCCAGGGTCTGCAGGAACCTTCCAGGATCAGGCACATGAGCTCGAGCAGTGGGCCCATGGGAACCTCATGAGGTTCAGCAAAGCCAAGTGATGATCTTTAAAGATCCCTTCCAACCCAAACCATCCCTCCCGATTCTATGATTTTGATAACTGGCTGCATCTCAGCAACAGGACTTATTTTGTCGTGTGAATCTTGACTCAAGTCTGGAAACATGATTTCTTTTCCAGATCCACAGTGAAGACAAACACGGGGGCTCCACAATGAGATCTGGGGAAGGGAGCGAAGGCTCAGAGCTGGGGCAGAGGGGGGTGCAGGTACTGAGTGCCCCGGGAAAGGGGAAATGTCCCAGTGTGAGCTCTGTGTGCTTTAGCTGCCTCATGGGTCTCAACTGCAGTGGCCTCTTCCAGAGGAGCTGAGCATGCAGGACATTGTGTGGTTATTTTAAACGGCAACTGAAGAACACTTAAAGGGGCACATTCTGCTGGCTTTGTGATTGTAACAGACAGTGCTGCTCCCAGTCCGTGGCAGAGAGGTTTTGTTTCAAACTTCCCATCAGTCAACCCTTCCCTGTGTCAGCCTGTACTGTATATCTTTTTAACTAGATTGAGTTAATACAATGAAACCAAGAACCTATCAACACCACTCTGTGATGGGCTTTGAATTAAAATCTAAATAAGAACAGAGTATTTTGATGTATTAGGAAAATGGATAACAATCCCTGAACTGTGACAGAGGATAAAATAGCACACACTTTTAATCTGACTTTTGCCTCCAGATTTCCAATGAGTCACCAGCGATGTTTCATCAGGGTATGGGTTTGGTGGTTTTTTTTCTTCCAGAAATGCCATTAATTATTTACCAGTAGGTGAATGATCTCTGAAATCTATTGCACTGACACCTTTGAGTCTGCAGACAGTTTCTGATGGCAAACCATCTGGGCTCCTTTAACTTGTTATTGTTTATCCTTTGGACTCCTCTCCCCTGGCTGTAAGGTGTAATGGCAGCAGACAGGGCCAGGAGCATCAATATTTTACAGCTTTAATTAAAGGGAGATCAGCAGCTGCATTGCCCAGCTCGGCTGCCTTCGGGAGGGGAGGGAAGGACCGTGCTTAAAGAAGGCGGCCAAGAGAGGTGTCCTGTGGTGGGCTGGGACAGGGACCCTCTGAGCTGTGACAGCAGCCCCGAGCCCAGCGCTGCGGTCACACAGATGATGCTCGGCTGTGGCAGTGAACGGTTCGTGCAGTGACGGCGGGACAGGGGGAAGGAGGGTGCAGGGTCCCCGGCAAGGAGATGTGCGGGGTCCGGCAGCTCCTCCTCGCTTGAAAGGGAATGAAGCAACAGCAGAGAGACGGAGAAAAGCTGCCAGCCCTGTGTGAACGCCATCGGAGCTGGGGCCGGGGAGCCGGGCTCTGACGAGCAGGCGCTAATCGAGCTTGCATCCAGCCTTTGCATCCTCTTATTTACTGGAGTTAACCAGACAGCGCTAAATAAAATTTAAACCCAAACCAAAAGAAAGACCTGAAATTTATCCCTCTATTAATTACTTCCAGCAAGCAGGGCCGCCTATAAAGCGGTGCCACTTCAGATAAAACTTTCATGCAGCTATTTAGGGCCTCTGAAATATAAATGATTTCCTTTAAATGTTTCATCATAAATCAGGGCACGGAGCTTCTCCACAACGCGCCGGTTTCCCCCCGGTGGGAGGGAGCTGCTCGCCCGGCCCGGAGGGGGACCCAGGGCGGGGTGGGAGCGGGGTGGGATCGGAGCGAGTGCGAGACAGGAACGGGACGGGGGCGGGGGGCAGTGGGATGGGAGGGGGCTGGAGCGGGAGCGGGAACAGGACGGCCGCATCCCCCCGCCCTGCGGGCGCTGTCCGCGGTGCTGCTCCGCGCCGCTGCCCCCGCAGCCCCCCGAGACCCCTCCCGCCGCAGCCGCCACCCGTCCGGGCCGAGAAGACCCGACGTGCGAGCGGGGAGAGAGAAATTATCTTTAAGGTGCCTTCCAACCCAACCCATTCCTTGATTCTGTGATCTTTGCTCTGTGTGTGTTTCCCCAAACGAAGCCGTTTCACCACGGCGGTGCCGTTTCTTTTCTCTGCCCACTGTCTGAATCAGTACATTTGTCAGGAAACCGGAGAGCAGCTCCTTCGGCTCTTGGTCCGTATTTATCGAGGCTCACAAAAGTCTTGGGAACTTTAAAGCTCGAAGTAGAATTTATTTTTGTTTAAGAACTTCGCATTTTTCAAAATGTTTGCATCCCTAGTGCCTCAAAATCCAAAAGTGTCTGAAGATGGGTCAGGACTGGGAGAGCAAAAATTAAACGGCCGCTCAACGGTAGAACGTCGCCAACTTCAGGGCTGTTTTCCCTTGGGACGGGTGTGTGGACATCTGTCCGTCTGGTCCAAACTTCAGCCCGTGGATTTTACCCACGGAGGAATGCCCGTTCTCCCTTATTCCCGGCGGGATTCGAGCGGGAGTGACGCGGGGGTTGCGAGTCGCTCCCTGCCCCGCTCGGCAGCCGGACCCCCGCGACGGCGCGTCCCGGCCCCGGGTCCCGGGCGGGGGTGCGGGTGGCGGGGTTGGGGGGGTCCGGGGGACAGGGGGGTGGGTCGAGGCGTCCCTCTGCCCGTGCCCTGCCCGTGCCCTGCCCGTGCCCTGCCCGTCCTGCCCGGGCGCATCACGCGTGCGCGGCCCGTGTGCGGGCGGGCAGCTTGTAAGATGAGTGAGGGAGCGGTGGGGGGGCGGGCGCCGGGGGAGCTCTGCCATCGAACACCGCTCACTCGGGCAGTGCCGAGGGCAGAGGCAGCCCCGCGCCCATGCCCGGGGCCTCCCGCCCGCGGGCCGCGCGGAGATGATGTCCATGGACGCCAAGCAGCCCTTCGCCGTGCCCGCCGCCCTCCAGGAGCCCAAGTTCCCCAGCCTGCACGCCGGCGCCGACGCGATGCGCAGAGTTTGCCTCCCGGCCCCGCAGGTACGTTGGATGCAGCGCAAATACCGCTCTAAGGCACATTTTCTGACAGGCACCGGGTTAATGTTTTTTTCATGTCGGCAGCACCATCGAGCGTCGCGCCCCCCCCTCCTCGCCCGCCCCTGAATCCGCACGATGCGGAGCGGGGCCGCTGCCTCCCTATTAATTTTTATGACCCGAGCTCCGGGGAGGACCCGCGGTGCCGGGGCCGGTTTTTCAGGAGGAGATGACAGAATTCCCCACTGACCCCGCCATGCGCGCTCTTGCTCGCAGCTGCAGGGCAATATATTCGGGAGCTTCGATGAGAGCCTGCTGGCCCGCGCCGAGGCGCTGGCGGCCGCGGACATCGCCCCCCACGGCAAGGGCCACCACCTCCACGCCCCGTTCAAGCCGGACGCCGCCTTCCACGCCATGAGCGGCGTCCCCTGCGCCGCCGCCGCCCTCCCGCACCCCGCCGCGCTCGCCGCCCATCCGCACCCGCTCCCGCACCCGGCGCTGGACGGCGGCGACCTGCTGGAG